AAACTATTTGTTTTATTATATAGAAGGAATGAATTTACAAGTTACAGGAATGAGTGTATTTATAATCTACACAAACTAACTCTGGTTCAAGCTAACTAATGCATAACAAACTAATTAACTCTAGTTTATTCTGTAACTGCCTAACTACTCTGTTAACTATCTAACTGATCTGTAACTGTCTAACTGAAGCAATGATGTAGCTGTAGTCATGGCTGTTGCAGGTGTAGCTGGAGCTGGGGAAGCTGAAGCTGGGGAAGCTGGATCAGGACTAGAAGCTTCTTGATTATGGCTAGACTCTTTAACAGGCCCCCTCAAGCTGAGAGGGATGACAGATCCTAGAAGCTTGTGCTGCAGATACAAAAACCGAGAAGAGGGAAAAGGTTTGGTGAATAAATCAGCAAGCTGATCCATGGAAGAAACATGATGAATAAGAAGTTTCTTAGCTGCAACTCTTTCTCGAACATAATGATAATCAACTTCAATATGTTTAGATCTGGCATGAAACACAGGATTGCTGGCTAAGGAAATTGCAGATAGATTATCACACCAAAGAATGGGAGCTGGAACTGTGATATGCAGATCTGACAGTAGCATGCCAAGCCAGCTTAATTCAGCAGCAGTTTGAGCAAGGGCTCTATACTCAGCCTCAGTAGAAGATCTAGATACGGTAGGTTGCTTCTTGGCGGACCAAGAAATCAAATTAGGACCTAAAAACACACAATAACCAGTGGTTGAGCGGCGGTCAAGGGAACAACCTGCCCAATCTGAGTCAGAAAAGGCATGTAAGGTAAGAGGACCAGGAGTAAAATGGAGACCTTGATGAAGAGTGCCTTTCAGATATCGGAGAATTCTTTTTACCAAAGCAAAATGACTGGTAAGAGGGGATTGAAGAAATTGACATGCATGATTAACAGCAAAAGCTAAGTCTGGACGCGTAATAGTAAGATATTGTAAGGCACCAACAAGACTACGATAGAGAGACGGCTGAGAAAAGGGTAAATCATCAACTGAATCAGTACTAGTTTTGAGAGGCAAAGGGGAAGGAGAAGATTTGCAGTTCGTCATACCAGCTTTAACCAAAATTTCAGTAGCATACTTTTGTTGAGATAAAAAATATCCTGAGGAAGAAGTAGTAACAGAGATTCCTAAAAAATAATTGATCAGCCCCAATTCCTTCATAGAAAAGGTAGAATGCATCTGAGTAATGAGAGTGGAAATATAGGAAGAATCACTGCCTGTAAGTAAAATGTCATCAACATAGATTAAAAGAATAGTGATAGAATGAGAAGTCTTTTTAACAAATAGAGAGGAATCACAATGACTAGCCTGAAAACCTTAAGTAAGAAGAAAAGAGGAAAAAGTAGAGAACCAGGCCCTAGGTGCCTGCTTGAGGCCATACAAGGCTTTATTGAGTTTGCACACTAGGGAAGGTTTGTTTGGATCAACAAAACCAAGAGGTTGATGCATATACACTTCCTCCTCTAAAATACCATGAAGAAAGGCATTTGAAATGTCCAGTTGTTTAATGGACCATTGAAAATGAAGAGCCAAACAGAGAAGAATTCTGATAGTAGGTTGCTTGGCAACGGGACTAAATGTTTCAAAGTAATCAATACCCTCAGTTTGAAGAAACCCTTTTGCAACCAATCGGGCTTTATGCCGAGCAATAGTTCCATCAGAATTTTTCTTAAGGCGAAAAACCCATTTACAACCAATAGCCTTTTTGTTGGGAGGAAGATGGACCAAAGTCCAAGTACCTTGTTTAATCAAGGCAGTGTATTCCTCCTTCATGGCAGTAGTCCATGCACTGGATTGAGAGGCCTCCTGATAGGATTGAGGCTCAGTATACTCAGAAGAGGTGAGAAAACACTGGTGCAAAGATTTAGACCTAGTGATCATGGGATGAATGTTAGGAGGAGAATTGGAGTGGATAGGAAGAGAGGAAGGAATAGGAGGTAAAAGAACAGATAAGGAAGAGATGGGAATTTGAGGCTGAGAAGTAGACTTAGAAGTAGGCTTAGAGATAGAAGAAGAAGGAAGCAAATCAGCAGACTGAGACAGAGTAGCAGCAGATTTAGACAAACCAGTAGCAGACTGAGGCAAACCAGCAGTTGGAGCAGAAACAGCAGGCAGACTGCCAAGAGGAGCAGCAGTGGCTGGAACAGAATCAAAGTGACCAAAAATAATTGGAGTTGGTGAATGTGGTGAGATCTGAGACTGTGGTGAATTTGGTGACTGTGGGGATTGAGTTGAAGCAGGACTTGGTGTTTGTGACTGTGCTGAAGTGTGGGACTGTGACTGAGCTGAAACAGAAAAATCTGCAGATGGAGCAGACCAGAAAAATGAGGTCAGCTGGGGCAAAGATGGAGTAGTAGGCTTAACTGATGGAGAAGAAGCAAAAGGAAAGACATCTTCATCAAAAACAACATGTCTGGAAATATGAATTTGTCCAGTAGTAGGATCAAGACATCTATAGCCCTTGGTAGATGGAATGTAACCAAGAAACACACAAGGCACAGACCTAGGTTGAAGTTTATTGGAAACATAAGGTTTAAGCCATGGATAACATCTGCAACCAAAAGTTCTGAGCAATGTATAATCAGGAGCATGGTGGTACAACATTTCAAAAGGAGTAAGAAAATTGATCTTAGCTGTAGGAAGTCTATTAATGAGATAAACAGATGTGGCAAGGGCATCAAACCAATAAGCAAGAGGCAAGGCAGAGTGATGCATAAGAGCAATAGTAGTCTCTATGAGATGTCTATGTTTCCTCTCTGCTACTCCATTTTGAGCAGGTGTGTGAGGACAACTTAACTGATGTTGGATACCATGACTCTTTAAGAAATCATGAAACTTGGTGCTAAGATATTCACCACCATTGTCACTTCTTAACACTTGTAATTGAGTAGAGAATTGTGTTTCAACAAATGCTTTAAATTCCACAAACTTATGAAAAACTTCACTTTTATAATGGAGAGGGAACAACCATGTAAACTTGCTATAGTCATCAATGAACAACACATAATATTTGTAGGAAGAAGCAGAGGAAGTAAATGGTCCCCATACATCAGAGTGAATAAGAGCTAATGGCTTATTGACTGTAGAATTAGACAAGCTAAAAGGAAGTCTATGACTTTTGGAAACACAGCAATGAGAGCACATTTTATTATCAATACTAGATGAAACATTTACAGATGAAGAAGGGATCAAATGATGTGTCATAATGTGCTGAAGTTTCCTTGAAGAAGGATGGCCTAATCTAAAGTGCCAATGAGAAGAGTTAACAATGGATTGGAAACAAGCCGGTGATGCAGATGCAGAAGATGGAGCAGCACTAGGGAGATGATAAAGACCATGGGAATGAAGACCTTTACATAGCACCTTCTTGGTACTCTTGTCCTGTATAATGAACATATCTTTGTCAAAAGTAATAGTGCAATGATTATCAGAAATAAGCTGATGAACAGAAATTAAGTTGGAAGATATGGAAGGTACATGAAGCATGTTTGAGAGATGGAAAGGAAAAGAAGGAGTGGGGAGAAGACCTTGACCAGTGTGATGAATAGGTAAGGCAGTTCCATCACCAACAGTAACCTGATCATGTCCATGATATGGTTGATAGGAAGATAGGTTGTTCAAGTTATTTGTGATATGACTAGTAGCTGCAGAATCAAGAAACCAGTTGGTAGAAGCACTGTCAGCAGGAGAACTAGTAGCAAACTGATTTGTATTGGTAATATAGGCTTGATGAGTTTTAGGCCTTGAAGAGTGGAAAGAAGATGTGTCCAATCTGTACCAACACTCTAATGCTGAGTGATTCCATTTTCCACAGATCTGACAAATTACTTGAGAAGAATGAGGATGAGAATGGGAAGTAGCAGAGTGTGCAGTAGAACCAGTAGAACTTGAATGATAGAACTAAGGTCCTGTGTGACCTTGGCCTGGATGACCTGAAGTAGAAGATCTGCCTTTTCCTCGAAGTAAAGCATTGCTAGAACTAGAATTTCCTTTGAAAAATCTGCTACCAGTTCTTCCTCCTCCTCGACCTCTGTAAGAGCCACCTCTAAAGCCACCTCTAGAAGAAGTGCTGGAAACATGATACGCAAAAGGTAGTTCTGAAGCAAGAGCTTGCTTAGATCCAGCTTCAATATGAATTGATTCAGAATTTAATAGGGAACAGAGCTCTCCAATGGAAATAGTTTCAACTCTAGTTCTGATGGCTGTTTTGAATGCATTATATTCATCAGGCAATCCATTAAGAATTAGGAGAACCAGATCCTCATCATCAACAGGTGATGCAGCTAAAGCCAATTGATCAGCAATAGACTTGATCTGAGTCAGATAAGTATCCATTGTGTGTCCTTTTTTCACAATTTGACTAAGTTTATTCTTCAACTGGTGAATATGTGAGCGTGACAAAGAGGTGAACCGTTTGAGAAGCACACTTCATACTTCATGACTTGTGGAACAATGTAACACAGATGTGAAGATAGATGGTGAGAGAGTTGCAGTTAAGCAACTGAGAAGATGAGAGTCTATCAAAATCCAATTTGTATAATCTGGATTCTGAATTTCATGATTGTGTGCATCAACAATAGTGGATGATGGACATTCCTGTGTACCATCAACAAAACTGAGAAGCTGAGTAGCTTTCAGAATATTATGAACTTGATTCTTCCAGATAATGAAATTTGTGGCATCAAGTTTGACAGTGACGAAGGCATTCAGATTTGTAATGAGTAGTGCAAGATTTGAAGGTATAGAAGATGAAGAAGAGGATACAGCAGAAGAGGACAGATGCAGAGACGGCAGGGAAGATGCCATTGATGAATCCTCAAGACCTAATGCTCGCAAGAGATAGGAGCTCTGATACCATAACAGATAGCAGATATTTTGCAGTGAGTAAAACTATTTGTTTTATTATATAGAAGGAATGAATTTACAAGTTACAGGAATGAGTGTATTTATAATCTACACAAACTAACTCTGGTTCAAGCTAACTAATGCATAACAAACTAATTAACTCTAGTTTATTCTGTAACTGCCTAACTACTCTGTTAACTATCTAACTGATCTGTAACTGTCTAACTGAAGCAATGATGTAGCTGTAGTCATGGCTGTTGCAGGTGTAGCTGGAGCTGGGGAAGCTGAAGCTGGGGAAGCTGGATCAGGACTAGAAGCTTCTTGATTATGGCTAGACTCTTTAACACCAAATTTATCAATCCATTGAAGAACTAGCTTTTTTTTTACACTTCCTCGCTACGACTTTGATTGCCGTTCTTCAGTATATTGAACTTGCAGAGAGAACATATAGCATTGATGTACAACCACTTGTCTATGCAGGAGCAGTGAAAATGATGGCGTGAAGGGAATTCATGCAGTTCAGTTCTGTCTTCCGTCTTCATAGGGACAAAGGCAAATGCAACATTCCTGTGATTCATGAGTCGTGTCAAAGGTTAACCGTTGACTTAGTTCATGGAAAGTTGTAAGCTATAAAGAAATCTAGCATTAAGTAATTGAACACACCTATTAACGAGCTTTTTTTTATGGGTTTTGTAAACATGTTGGGGCACATATTAAAAAGCTTAAAAAGATTGTATATTCTGCATAAAAGTGTGCGTCTAATAAAAAATGTACAATACTTTTAAGCCATCTTAACACATGCCATAAAGACACATGTTAACAAACTTCTTCTTTTTATACATAGCATGCAAATGAAATATTAATGACCTGACAATAAACAGGTCCCGAATTCAGTAATGTTTATTATTTATTTTCAGTGATTGAAGATACCAAGGAACAACACAATTTTACAATGATAATTTGCGCCTCTTTTTTTCTTTTTCTTTTTTAGAAGCAATAAAAGAAAGCCAAAAAAAAAAAAATCCCATAATGGTAAGGGCTATTAGTCATCACACTATATCTACACTATCAAATTAGTGCAGAATCAATCTTCATGTCTGAGGATTGAATGCAAGTCATAACCTTCATGAAAATGATGTAGTCGTAAAAGGGAATGTGGCAAGTTTTTTAGCATGTTTTTTCAGAACTTTCTTAATTTTCATGAAAGAATGTCTTGATTAAATTAGGGAACTTACAGCATTTTCTGGGGAAAGAATATGTTCAATTGGTGAATCAGTATCACATTCTGTAATTATTCCTCTAAAAGATTCTAGAATCTCCTCATTTTGTTTCTCAAAGTCACCAACCCTCCGAAATTTGTATTTGGACAGTCGTTCAATGTCTTCCTTTGTTGCTCCTTCCTATTTTCATACAAAAGTTAATGCCAAGACAAAGAAGAAACATTCAACATTCAGAGTAAAGGTGAGATCAAATAACCAAACAGACATTTGGTAAAGCAATTCTAAGTGCAGACTAGATAGTTGACCATGAACTCTTTTAACTTAGAGAGAGAGAGAGAGAGAATTAACAACCCAAACTCAGATCTCGGTTCTGATCCAATGCTCCTAGCATGATATCTCCTCTTTAGGAACATAGTACAAGGTAGTCAGTGCACTAGTATGTCGAGCAAGCTCCACCACTATAGTCATAGAAAGAAATTTCTACACTCTGTCATGTGTCAGTAATGTTACATTTTCTCACAGACAATGTACCAATAAATTCCATGATGTCACTCACCCAAAGACATAAGGTGTATTCAAATTGCAAACAAAGTAAGAAGTTTCTGTCCAAACTCAGATAACTATTTTGCAATTGAAAAATCTAGGATTAGAAATATAATATATCAAGTCTTTTATGGAAATAAACACAAAACCGAAGAGACTTCTGTAAATTACCTGATCTGCTACTGCATATAATATTGCAATTATAGATGGAAGACAGCAGCAAACAGCTATACCAATGACACAAGCCACAGCAACACAGATAACAACAAAGAACACATAAAAGCATGAAATTTACAGATCTGTAAGAAACTACAACGAATTAGCCAATAAAAATCGATCAAACATAAAAGCATAAACCTTTTCTTATACCTGATCTACCACGTATCTAATTTCGACTAGATCTAGCACAAAATAGAATTAAAAAAAGAAAAAAAAAATTATCAAATCAGAGATCTAGAGAACAGATTTGATACCTTAAGGCCTGAGGAGCAACGTCCCAACCCAAACGCGACCTTCTGGGACGGCGATCCATGTGCATGTGTGGAAACTCAATCACGCATTCCATCTCCATGTTCTCATTTTTGTTTTTGCCAGAAATAAATATAAGCATGTATAATCTTTCCTGTAAAAAAAAATAAAAATAAACTATAAACGTACATGAAATGCGATGAATTTGAACGGTGATTCAGGTTGGAAAACACCATTGTTGAGCCATCTTTCAGGTCGGAAATCTTTTGCATCATCTCCCCAAATGTAAGGCATCCTCTGCCCATGGCATAGGACATGTAGTAAACACCATCTTCCTTTTTCAGTTTAAATCCATCTGGAAGAATGTCATATGTTTCTGCACACCTCCCATCCTTAAAAAGTACAACTAACAACTGACCAAAATTATAAATCGTTACTATTCTCAAGAATGGGCAAAAGCATCAAGGATATTCGCTTACTTGCGACTTCCACCAGTCAAAAGGCCACTTGGCTGAAATATATCACCATCGAGAGTGACACTTGGGGTGCCAATTTCTCTATTAAAAGCAACCTATGGACTAGTAATTAATGTGAAAATGAGATCAACAAGATCACAAAAAACACATTTATTCAAAATACGTAGTAGTTTAGACACGTACAAGATGACAAATTAATTTGGCCCGACACCAAAAATAAGGTTTAGCTAAGTTAACACTTTTACAGATCAATAGCATAACCTTAAACCATAGTGCATATGTTTCTAAAATGTTTGTCAAAAAATAAATTCATTCATCAATTCTAACTTCTGAGAAAACAAATCCAGCACCACATGCTCTCTGATCCTTTTTTGCAGTGTTCTTTGTGAACTATAGTACATTTAAATCAACATGTAGAATCAATAGTTGCACTCAAATATAACATGACCACAAGCATAGCAGCAAAGCAACAAAAGAAAACATGTCATCTTCAAATGGAAAATATATATTAGAATCATCTACAAAGGCACCCGAGGAAAAAGGATTACTGAAAAAGACTTACCGCCCTCGCTGCATCAATAGTTTTGCAAACAAATGTTGAACCAAATACACATTCCATAACACTCTGCAACACATATAAACTCTCTTTAAAAACAAAATATAACTAACCCAAGCCAAAGTTCTTTTATCCAACCAAAAACAAAATCGCACGCATGTGAATAAGATTTTGGCCCATCCATTGCTGATGAACATGACTTACAATGATATAACATTAAGAAACATTCCAGCACACACAATTGAATTATACCTTTAGTTCTTGATCGTATCCAACCAGAGATAGAACCACTTCTGCATTCCCCTTGCCAACTTGAAAATGTAGGATAATAACCTTCTGACAAACACAAACAAATACGAGAGATACAAAAATATAATGAAAGCCAAATATAGAGACAAACCAATCTAATAGATGACCAAAAATAGATTGAAAAAATTGAAAATAGTTAGATTGAAAAACAAAAAGATCAAAGTGAATGAGATTCTATTGAAAAGAGAGCGGACCAAAAATAACAAGTGAAAGGATTAAAAAAAATAAAATTCGAATGAAGGGAGGCCAGATCGAAGATCTGATGGAGCAATAGAGAGAGAAAGAGAGAGAAAGAGAGAGAGAGAGAGAGGACTTGAGGGATGGTAGCGACGGGAGGACCAGACCTAAGGAGGAGCTTCAACAGGTAGAACGCATCCAATGCCATCGCGCTTGAGCTTTTCTTGGAACAGAAAAGCCTATCATTTCATCGGTTGGTTTCCTCTTGCTCCGACTGGATCGGTCTCGATCACGATGATCTTGATCCTTTTTCATTCCTCGGTCTCGTAACCCCGCCGATTTGTGCAACTCAACCGAACCATCTTCCTCTACAAAATCATCAGAATCAAAATCAAGAAAACCAAAAAACCATCAAGAAATTTCAACAAAATCGATGCAAAAATCGATGGATTTAGAATTAGATCTGAACCCTGGTGAATCTCTCAAGGAGCATGAGCAGATAAAGAAAACCCTAGATCTAGGACGGAGATAGAAAACGATAGAGAGAATTGAGAGAGAAAACAAAATGACGGAAAGAGAAATGGGGGCAGAGGGAGACGGAGCACCGTTATAAAGTGAAACACGCGTGTCTTTAATTTCATTTTAGCTCTTGCACAGCGTTTTTCAGAAAAACGTTGTCTAAAAAATGTGGTTATAGGCCAATTTTGTTGTAGTGTAACTAAAATAATATCATAACTAAAGAAGAAAATTGATTATAACTAAAGAAGAAAATAATACAACTACGGATACATATGATCTCATGAATCATAAATAAGAGTATATTGAAATTAGAAACTTATAGAATCTCCTAAATAAGAGTATATTTTCTAGTGTCTACATGGTAACATTTGAGTTCGAATCCCATTTACTATTAAATTTTATAATAGAAATATTAGAAAATCACAATTTAAATATTATAATTCATCAATAATGATGTGGCAAGAAAGTTATGTGTTATATGACTGGATTTGTGATAAATTAAAAATTGACACTTAACAAATTATACCATTATTGTTGATCAAATTGACATAACCCTTTTAGGAGTCTCAAAAGTTTTTCATAGCATAAACGTTAGAACTTTGAAAATTTTCAAGCTAGTGCGTGTATCACAACTCAGTTGGCATTTTCCATTGATACAATATATGGCTTTGTCTACTGTTGAACTTTAATTGTCCAATTTGATGTAATATTTTTCATATATATAATTAATCTTCTATCCATTTACAAAAAATAAATAAATAAAATAAAAATAAAAATAAAAAATATGCAAGCATGTTGGCACAAGTTTTTTGCTAGGTTAATGTACCTGTCAACGTAAATTTGAACTATTAATTCGTATTTTTAACATTTAAAATAAAAAAATTTAGATTAATGCTTTGGGGCTTAATCTAAATTTTACTTCATATAGATTATAGGTAGGGGGCTAGGTGCACATTAGTTATGTTTAGTAGCAAATCTAAAAGTAAACCAATTCCTAAAACTTCATTTGGAATACTTGGTGACAAAAAAAAGGATTAATTACTTCATATTTCTCTTCATTTTATAGAGAGAAGGGGAAAAGAGTTTTAAAAATCAAATTTTTGTCCCCAAAATGAAAAATATTTAGGAACTAATTTGTGTCCCCAAAATGAAGGGGGAACATTTAGGGACTAATTTTTTTTATCACAAGGATTGTCATTAAAAAATCTTTTCAAAACGTTAAAAAATAGACTTTTAGCATCAAAATTTTAAAAATGTTGTTAATAAATACACTTTAACAGAAAACAATTTGGTGCAAACGATGTTCACTTTTTCACACAAATTTTGGTCAAAAAATGATAGTAATTGTGAAATAATGGTTTCTGTATATTTTATTTCTCAACAGTAAGACAATATATATAGATACAAGTTATATCCTGTAAATAAGGAAACAAACCTATTCTAAAGGAAACTAAATAAATCAGTTCTATTCTAAAGGAATCTAAATATATCTAGAATCAATTAATCTAAATCTTATATACAGCTCATGCACAGCTCACGTCAACAGTAATTCATCACTAAATGTTTAATTTCATCACTAAACATACAATAATGACACTTTTGGCAACTTAAATATTTTGTTCTTAAAATATAATTTTATTCATAATTTTCTGTTTTTAAAATCTTAATTTGTTATAATGATTTCATGCTTGGAACTGTGTGACAAACAATTCGGTGATTTTTTTAAGGATTAACAATTTGGATTTTTATTGAAAAGACCCTAGCACTGTTTCATTGTTTTCCTTTTTCTTTTTTTTTTTCTTTTTTTTTATCAGCATTTTATAATGGATGAAAGCAAATAAAAAAGGGTATTGATAAAGCATACCTTTTCATTAAGCAAAAATTGTGCCTGGTTAGAAGAATTTCCTTCCGATGTCATCTTCTCCACTTTGGGGTAGAAGCTTATGAGCTTGGGTAGATTTTCAAGACACAAATATTCCAACTGACTGAAATGAATTACCTGACTTGAGAGTTCATCTTCATCTTTTTCTTCTTCAATTCCAACTATTGCTTCCATCATCTTGCAATCTATTATTTGTAGTTTTTGGAGTCGTAGAATTCCTCTTGCACAAGATAGGGAGAAGTGATATTTCGACTTACAATCTTGAATTGTTAATACGATTAAAATATTGAAGAATCCTAATGGATTTAGTCCAAAGCGTTCCACCAAAGACCCCTCTTGTAAACCTTCTATTTTTAAGGAAACACCCCCAAATTTACACGGCTTTCCATGAAAAACATATTCCTTACCCATACCTATTGATATTTTAAATCTGATCAAGTTTTCAAAGTAGAAGTCCTTGGGCAATAGCATGACATTTGGTATGTGAATCTCTAAAGTGGTTAATTGCGTCAATTTCCCCAACTCATCAAGATTCACTTCGCTTCTTTCCTTCTTGTCTCTTGTGGCCTCCCATGGCTTAAAATCATCGAAAATGTACAATTCTTCCAGGTGAGACAAATTGGATATGACACCTTGTGGAATCTGTGTGAGCTTGTAACAATTTCCCAGATCTAACAACCGAAGATGGGTCAATTCTCTTATCTCTGATGGAAAAACATTGATATTAGAACCTCGAAGGCTAAGTATTTAAAGGTTATTATTTAGCTCCTGCTATGTCTCCCAAGTCACAATCATTCAGACATAACATTCTAAGGTTAACCAAATTTGCAAGAGATAATGGAGGCAACACACAAATTCTATTCAATTCTAAAATTGTAAGTTTCTTCATTCCTCTGAAAAACCTATCTGGAACATTAAGCTTGAGCAAAGGATTGATATTCCATTTCAATAGTATGGTCAAGGTGTGGAGTTGTGGACATACCAGATCATCCAGAAGCTCAAGAGTGTTGTCGAACCTTAATGAGATTGCTGAGCAAGATTTGCATGTATCTTCCTTGGGCCTCTTTTTGACACCATGGTTTACTAGAATTTCCTTGCCATCATCTTTCGCAATTGAAATAGCAACTTTTCGAATGGCATTATGCATTTTGACGAAGTTTTCATCTTTGCCTTCTAATAACAAACAAGCATCTTTGAGGTGATTGACAGTTGTAAGTACTCGATGGCTTGCTTCTCTTAGTGAATTTGTGTCTTGTCCAAGCAAACTTCTTGCTATGCAGTGTCTTGCCAAGACTTCAATAGAAATCTCATCATCTTCAGGAAAGAAACAACATAGCAAGAAGCATGATTTTACATCACGGGACTCTAACCAATTGTAGCTTAACTTTAAGGAAGCACACACATTTGGGTTGATTCCCGCAATATTCTTTTTTAACTGATCAAGTGCAGATTTCCAAACATGTTTTTGCTTATATTTCAATGCGGCTCCAACAGTAAGTATAATGATCGGCAAGCCTCCACACTCTTTACACACCAAACTGGCTATATCATGCAGTTCAGGAGAGTAAACAGAATTCCCCACTGTCTTCTTGAAGAGGGCCCATGCTTCTTTCTCAGATAATACTGGCATTGGAACATATCTATCAACATGCATCTTTTTCAACACACCTCAGATTCGAGTCGTTATCACAACTTTGTAACAATTGTTTCCATCAATGATAGGAATACCTATTGTCTTCAAGTTCAATTCCTGCCAAATATCATCCAATATAATGAGATTTTTCTTCCCATTGTTCAATCTATTCCACATTTCATTTCCTTTTTCCACTTCATTTCCCCTTTTTAGTTCCAGATTCAACGAATGAGCGAGTTGCCCTTGAATATTGCTCACATTTGCGTCCTGAGAGACAACTGCTGCCACGACTTCATCAAAAAGTCCATTTTGCACTTGTTTGCCAATCTCTTTGACCATCGCCGTCTTACCAACGCCTCCTGTTCCATATACTCCAATCATTTTAACATTGGAATCTTGTAATGCCGACATGATGTTATTGAAAACCGATTCTCGCGACTCAAAATTTGCGTAGTGCGTACTCATTTTCAATCCACTTTTTCTCTCTTTTTTTCCTTTGACCTTTTTTTTTGTTTGTTTTTTTAAAAACGAATATTGAAGAAAAAACTAGCTTGAGATTCGAATTTCAGACGATGAAGCTCCCTCAATCTGTGTCTACAGGTAAAACAAAAAGAGAGATATCAAAGAAGAGAAATTAAAAGTGAAGATAAAATTCTCTCTTTTGCCGATTAGGAAAATAAAAAACAAAAAAGAAATTAACATTAACTAAGTAGAAAAATAAAATGGATG